GTTGTTGGACTTGTAAACACGGTGCCATTCTCACGTGATCCTAGTTTTCTAGTCACAACAGCGGGAGTACATCTCTCAACCCTGCCTATTCGGCGAAAGGCGCTGCGACCAAGTAATTCGGGCCAAAACCTGTATGGCCTGCTTTTGCTGGGACAAGTTTCAGGAACCTGAACTAAACAGATTGCTTGTAATTGCCATTTTCGGACCAGTGTTGAGTTCTTGTGCGTCTTCAGCTTAGAAGTGCAGAACCTCAAGCGCAGCAGGAAAAAAACAAAAACGCATCACTTCTCCGGTCCCAACTGTAAATGGGGACTTGTGCACATGAAGGTTACTCCGATTTATGGGCCCTTGTAGTAAGAAGTATTTTGAGGAGCGCCCGTATCCGGTTATGCAAGCAAATTCTACCCCCTAAGCCGGCACCAAAGCCTGTTTGGGAGTCGCTCATTACAAGCCCTTCTCTCAGTAATGTTATGCGAAGAATCTCCCCCCCCCCCCCCCCGAATTCAAACAAAAAACACGACTACTCACAGGAACAGGAAGAACCACGCATAGTTTGACAGCCCCTTTGACACACCTCAACCTCAAGAATCCCGAATTCGGGCCCTCGTCCCAAGTCCAACCATCATCTCCAGAACCCATGTACAGGTTGACGCAATGAGAATGGGGCCCTTGGTCTGTCTGTGTTCCACTACAGTTCCGGACACCCAAAAGGGGCCACAAATGAAAGCCCCCACCCCGAGGAATGAGGCCATCTCACCCTCCTGGGTTCCGAGCTCGGCTCGGTTTGCCTCAGGGGTTTGGAGTCAGGGTCTGATGGGCTCAGGGATGGCTTAGGGTTTACAGTTTACAGGTTGAGGGTTGACGCTTGGACCTTCCAAAGTGTCTTGCAAATGTGTCTTGGAAGTACCCGACAGACGCAGACTTAGGGTGCTAGATCAAGACATTCATTCAGGCTAGGGAAATGGCCATCAGACTCCTGGACTCCTAGATTCTATAGACATGAGATTCTTATTCTGTAGTCGATAGAAGAGCACCAATTCGTGGACAATGTGGATCCTCCTGTATAGGTGTGCGCTCCACACCGTCCAAACCAGACCGGCCATGTCCAATCGAGTTATTCAACAGCTGACTCTTCTAAGCTGTATCAGCAGTACTTCGAGGCCGACACTGATCTTAGCACGCAAAAGCAAAGTTACAAAAGCGCGGCTTCTACATTTTCAACAACTGGAATAGGAGGTAGCCTACCTCGACATGAATTGTGTGTCACGTGTTGCCACTGCATCTTCTACAAATTTAATGCACCGAGTGGCGAGTTGAAGCAGCAATTGGCAACGCGCGCGGATGCGACAAACGATGTACAGAGCAGTCGGAACTCCCTAAGTGCGAATTGTGGGTATCATCGAGAAGCTGAATGCCTGACAGTCTCGCTTTCAAGTAGGAACCCGGTTGGGCTGGCGCCGCGTGCTTGTGTAACCGCATGTCAATGTAGCCAGTGGACATCAAGTAGTTATTGATGCGGATTGATGTTGGTGAGCGATTCTGCAGGATCGGCGTGTATATTGAACAGTGTACCGGGCCCCGCTGGCCACGGCCACATGTCGAAAGCGCTGCTTTGTGCTGCAAGCGAGTGGATATGCATATCTCGTGCATTTTGTCTCTATGAATGGTGAACCGAACTCTGGTGAAATTCTGGGGTTGGGCGCTGGTCTTGAGGTACAGTCGCGATTTTTGTTGGGATGCCACCTTGCCGAAAGTTGCCTGGAACGGTAATTCCTTGGTTCGTTTTGAAGCAAAGACGACTGACTTATCACATCTGCGAATCATGATCACTTTATAGGTTTCATATTGGCAGTTGTGTTGCTGTTGTCCTTGTTCAAGGATCGTATGTCCACCCGTGTCCCGCACGACCCGGAACATGAGCTGGAGTGGTCAGCTCCTCAGTCTTCGGTGAAGGGTGTTTGTGCGGTTCCGCTCCTTTTCTCTTCACAGTCTCAAGCTTGTGAGCAGTCCGATTTGTCCAATTTACAAGCGTGAGATGTTGCGAAAGTCAGTTTGCTTACAACCGTTGTGGTTGTTTTTTTGTTTGTCGAGGATGTGTTTTTTTAGGTGTAGGGTTCAATAATCGGCGATTTTGGACTTGGTTGCCCAGTGGTAGCCTTGACCCTTTTTTGGGTTGTGGGTTCCCGTATAAAGTAGCCAACCCAAAAAGGGTGCCCTTATCAAAATATTGTTACTGGGCTATTAAGTGGAAGAGACCCTACCCAGCCGCAACCCCCACGCCAACTTTCATTTGCGTGGCCAGAGTTCACAAGGACTTGTGCACAAACCTTTGCATGAATCAAAGAAAAGCAGCTGCTCTGCCCTAGGTCAATTGTGGCCGACAGCATCGATGAGGTTGGCGTGGATATGCACGGCATGAAAGGTCTATCATGTGCACGTCATTAAACCGAGAGCCGGGATTCCCCAAAGCAGACAACTCTTGAAAGCACTCCTGCTCTGTAGTTCGTTGGTGCCGTGCATGGTGCGGTCATGCTCGGCATGCTTTACAGCATTGATCGCAGCTTCTTGCATCTGGGGTTTCCGAAAAGGGTACCTTACTGGGGTCCTTATTATAAAGGAATCCTACTATTTGGGGGTCTATATCAGGGTCCCTTACTGTCGTAAACTCCCATCTCGCAGTCAAGCTCAAATAATCTGCCTTGCCGCAGGACGAGCTTTTCAAGCTGCGAGAGCATCGGACTTGGTCCTCTTGACACCTGAACGATTGCGCCATAGAGTCTTTTGAAAACAGTAGAAAACGGAAGATTTCGGGGGTAGACCCTGAGTAAACAAACCTAAAACCCAAAGACCCGAGCACCCCAAGCCTTTATAACCCTAAGCCAGAACGCTCTTGAGACGTTCGTCGTGTGAGGTCTTGCAGATTTGGCGGGCGTTGCGCTATGCACTGAAATCCTGCTCTGGAAACTAAGCGTGAAAGAGCCGTGGAATGTTGGGAATGTCAGTTTGCTGCTACTCAAACCAGCCCACATAGGCTACATAGGCCCAAGACTGCATCTGCAGGCTCCATCAGGTTCTTCAGGACTGCGAGGTGCGCAGACCGGCTTCAGGATCGACTTTGGTTCTCAAGGGTCGCTTGGTCTAGAGATTTCGCAGGTGTCGGGGCTTAGGGATTAAGGGCTTTCAGGAATTCAGGGGTTTGGGCTTCAAGGCTGGACTGGGGCTCCAGGCTGTCTTGAAGCAGGCTTACTGCTTGATGATGTGGTGTAGGGTACAGGACGTGGGGCTTCAAACACATTGAAGCCTGAGGTGTGACGGCCCGCAACGGATTTTTCAGAGCCCTTGTCCTTCCAATCGACCAACTACCGTACCATCCAAACCAGCCACGAGTTGGTAGGCTTAAGGATCGCCAGTCCTTGACGCTGGAAGCTTTCACATGGGATGAACACGACTTGCCGCCCAGGAAAGCCTACCACCCCTGACAGGGATAAATGCACCCCACGCCCTACACCGGCAACTGGTAGACCAGGGAGGGATACGAGGTAGGCTCTGCATGCTGTTATTGTGTTATTGGTGATTGTGTATATATATATATATGCATATATGGTACGAGTAGCAGCATATACGCATAGAAATATTTGTTCACTTATATATATATATATATATATGTTGGTGGTGTTGAACAACCATGCCTCATATGGGGATGTGATCCGAGGTTCAAGGGTTTGAGGCAGGAAGTTAGGATGTGTTATATATATATATATATATATGATTTTTTTTAATAATATATATATATATATATATTTTTTTTTTTTTTGGGGGGGGGGGGGGTTGTGTGGCGTGCGCTCACGCCAGTTGCATCCTACCTGCCGGCGAAAGCCATTACATCGTCAGGCCAGGGGGGCTCCAAAGCTTTTCTTTTGAGGAGTCTGAGTTGGGATGTTCCCCCTTATACTGACAGTCCTTAATAGGGACTCTAATGGGGTACTAGGGTACTATACTCCCTATCCAGGACTGTTAGTATAAGGGGGAACATCCCAAAGTCCGAGACGCTTCCGGAGTTGAAGTTTTGTGACATGGGGCATCAAATGGTAAAAGGCCGCTTCACGGTCGCAAAACTTCATGCCCGCTAGGCTCAGACTCTTTTGCGCTTCCTTCGAGCGCGGGACGGCGACGTGCTTAAGGCCCCTCTGGTTCCATGACTCGATCCTGTCCTTATACCCTGAACCCTAAACCCTAAACCTCAGGATGTTCCCCCTTGTACTAAGGACTGTTAGTACAAGGGGGGGACATCCCAACCTAAGCCCTAAGCTATACTCTGAACCCTCGACCCGGCATGAAATCACCCTCAGCCCCTAAGCCCTAAAGTCAGCAGTCCTATACTGCAGGCTCTAAACCAGCTTCGGGCTGACTGTGCCCCGCAACCTCGGCCCAGGGCTGACAAATCTGAAGTTGACGGCGGTTTAGGGTTTGGGGTTTGGGGATTACGGTTTAGGGTTCAGGAGGCCGAAACCCCCGTCAAACCCCGCGCACAACAGCCTGCAACCCTTGGTGAGAGAGAACTGGGGATGCATGTTGATGACGCCGCCGCCCAGCAAGAAAGGACTGCAACAACCGGAAGATCGCACATACCTGTTCGCATACACCAAACTGTGAAGCCCCTCCACCCCCAAAAAAAACACAGAGGAAGGTAGGATGCAGGAAGTGTGGGTGCAAGTTGTATAGCCCAAAAAAGTCTTTGAACTCCCTGAGCCACACTGCTACACTTCTGACGGTCTCGACTTCAAAATCCAACACCCTTGAACCCGTTACGGCTCGCTGTAACCCGCCGTTTGCGCAGCCTTGTTCCACATCTGGAGTTCAAAGCTTGCACCACTTTGAAAGTACGAGAAAGAAAGCTGAAGACCCCCTTAAGAAAGTCCCCCGTTTCCTTCGGGCCGCTCTTACAATGTTGCTACTGGAACCGCGCTTCAATCTCAGGGAGCAGGAAGCCCGAAAGCGCCATGATGACTGTCGCATCTGCTGCAGAGGCAGAAAGAATGTTCCGCGACATGCTGGAGTGGCGCCATGACTTCGACGTTGAGGGAAAGGCCTGGGCCTCAAAGGGCTTGTGGCTTGTATGAGTTAGGGTCGATAGGGTTTAGGGTTTAGGGTTTAGGGTTTAGGGTTTAGGGTTTAGGGTTTAGGGTTTAGGGTTTAGGGTATGACCCTTCTTGGTGAGTGTTTGTATGGAACCGGCTCTCGGTTCGCCAGCCCCCCGCGTTTGAGGAGTTGGGGGTTTTGGGGTTTCTGGTTTAGGGCTCTAGGGTTAGATAGTTTTAAGCGCGTAGGGTTTCAGGGCATTGGGGTTTTAAGATGTAGGGTCAGGATGTTTAGGATGCTCAGGGCTTCTAGGCTTCACTCTAGGAAAAATAGGGTTTTAGGGCTTGGGCTTATAGGGGAGTCTAGACCCTGCCTTATGCGGGGAACTGCCCTACTTAAAGTGGGGGGTAAAAGGTTTATGATCTCTGGCGCCTTCCGAAACATTCGCCATGCTTGCCCCCTTCTCCCTCCACCCCACATCTCTTCTTTCGCATGACACGGTGCAGCTTCATACCACAAACTCCCTCTTTTCCGACTAAAACCCAGTGTGTCCGGAGTTTGGGATCGCGGTTTTGTGCTCCGAATTCTCCATCTTCCTGAACAAGCAATCCCGATACAACGCGAACACAAGCAACTCTGAGTCTCCAACAACCAGGGGGTGTCTGCCAAGCGGACACCACGATCCTGACTGGCAGGATCTGAACCGAGCCAACCCTCAACCCTAATTAAACCCTAAACTCTAAACCCTCAACCCTAAACCCTCCACGTCTTCCTCACAAGTCGGGCGGCGTGCCTTCTTGAGTATGAGCCCTTGACCAGGCTATTTTTGTTTAGATCCTGTCCGAACTTAGCACTCAGATCTTTAACCCTCCAGGAAAAAGAGCTTCAGCCACAGCCACGAGGTGCACAGCTGGAGGCGAGAGATGGAGAGGCATCGTGCCCGCCTGAGCCAGCTGGCATGCGTTCTTTGGTGAGCTGGGTTGAGGGTTTAGGGTTTAGGGTTTACACTATAGAGTGTTTCGGGTTTATAGGGTTTAGCGTGTAGCCTTGAAGTCAATATTGGTGGCACGTGGCCATTAGCGACTTTTGAGGGGTAGGCATAGAAAAGCCCTCGCCCGCGCCGAGGGACTAGGCGTGCTCGGCTTTGCAAACGCTTCGCCATCGAGGAGCAGATTTGTCCCGAGCTCAAAGCCGGCGCTTGTAACCCTCGGTTGTCTCGTGTCACCTTTCCTATAGTGTAGCTTACTTTACATTGCAGGAAGCTGGGCTTGCATTGGAGTTTCAGGGCCCGCGAAGTGGTTCTTTCTTTTGCTTCGTGGCTTGGAAGTGCCAGTCGCTCGAGTTGTGCTTGCATCGCTGGCAAAGCTCATTACATCGTAGCTGGCCAGAGCTGCCCCGGGCAGTTACAGTATTGGTATTGCTCTGGCCATGGTGCATATGATGTTGTTTGAGCGCAGGGGTCCACTGGGTCACTCGTGTCGAGAAGCGCGCGCGTGGATTTTCCATGTGATGTCAGTTCGACTTGGCATTCTACTGCGATGTTAATTTGCGGCTTCGTCGTCGACCTTGAAGTATGACAGATCTTCGGCGATCTACAGTCAAGTTGCGCATTTGATCCGGACAGCCCGACATCATGCGGCTATGCTTCCCAAGAACGGTTGAGGTACAATGCTGTGCTATCGGCATGCAGTGAGCTGTGCCTCTGCTTGGCTCTACAGTGCATTGCCTTGGTAACCCGTTTCCTGCCAACCTACGTGAAACATAGTCTAAAGGCCCAAACTCGAACATACCATATACACATAGTATTCAGACAAGCCATAGTGACGCCACTTTACGCTGGAGCCTCGTTCACAATAGCAACCCATATAGATCTGTGACGCCTTAACACGATCCGTCTGAACAGTGCCACGATAAGAATGAACTATATACAGGCAACGACAAGTACGGCATTCCGGTGCGGTGGCTGGGTTGCAAAAGTGGGGCGAGTTTTTGGGGTAGAGCGCAGTGAATACCATGTAGAAATGTGTCGTAGAAATTTGTGCGGCAGGGTTTGCCGAACAGGTTTGGTAGGGGCTGCGCAACCCTAAACCCCAGAGCCCCATACTGTCTTCCTGAGTCCTGCCCTGGCCAGAAGACGGGCGCCAATTACGCCGAGATCCCTGCAAAAAACTCAACCCTGGGCCCCAAGCTGACCCCACAATCCTGAACCCGGACTACATCCTGAAAGGCAAGCCCAGAACCCTCAACCCGAAACCCTCCCAGCACAGGTTACTTCGTCTGGGTGTTGCGGATAGTGCTGCTTGGACCGGCGTAGGGATCGTCAGTCGTTTATGGCTTCTACAACCAGATTAGGAGCTGGGTGTCTTTTCGCGAAGCTTTAGGTGTTCAAGAGGTTTGGGGTCGGGTCAGCTGCATCGCCCTAAAACCCAAATAGTTCCCCAAGCCATCCTACTGCTCAGCAGCTGGCTTCAAGGGTTTAGGGTTGAAGGCAGGCCGCCGGTTCTGGTAGTTCGGGGCGCTTTATGTGTTTCATTACCAGTATCGTGCCTTCACAATTTATTTGAGATGCCTGTCATAAAGACTTCCCAAAAGTACCCATTCTACTCAGCAGACTGAGTGGCTGCTATCCACGTGGCAGGGTACGCTGAGGGGTCCTTGTTTGGACTCTACTGTCAGAACTTCCGAAGTTGAATCGAGACTTGCTGCCGCAGGTGAGCAATTGACTGTTGTCTCTCTTCACATGCATTCACTTGTACCGAATGTTCTTCGACGCCCATCCATACTTGAACGAAGTGGCATCGTCGCACCAAGTAAAGACAGGGACTTCTTGAGAAGGGACTCCAACATCCTGAACTCTGGTGCTGAGGCCGGCATGATCCGGGAATTTGGACAAGAAGCTGTGCTGGTGGACAGTCGTGCCCTCATGAGCAGCTGTGCAGGGTCTAAGTCTTCCTCATGCTAGAAAAAATGCTGGCTTTGTCCTCACTCATCAGGACAACAAGAATTATTCACTGTTTTGTTGTTCTTGTGCTTCAGCCCAAAACTGTTTGCAGAGAATCCCCCATCACTCACATCATGATGATGGTAGTTATCTACTACGTTTACTGTCATCCACAGAAGCGCTCCACCTCGAATTGCGATGCCCTTACGCAGCCGCCCTGCAGCAAAACACCCAAAACTTGAGGTCTGAGCCCCCTCAAAGGCCTGTCGCAACCACAACGCAACCCTCCACCCCGAACCCTAAACCCTAAGCCCTAAGCCCTAAACCCTAAACCACAAAGCAACCCTGCACCGATTTGTAAGCTCTCCCAGCACAGGCTTGTCAAAGCTGGAATGGACCCACGAGCAGATCCGGAACGCCATGTTCCGTTGCCGGAAGCTGTGGCCTGACATGTATTGAATGATACTTGGGTTTAGGGTTTAGGGTTTAGGGTTTTCAGGGTTCACAAGGCTTTTGGCTTATGATTGTAAGGGAACAGCCGTGTCATGTGGGGAAGCCCCAGAAGGGAATCGGGTTTGGGATTTGGGACCTTATATGCTCGAGACAAGACTTGAGCTGATTGTAGTAGGGCCTGGGGGGGGGGGGGGCAGCCAATGTAGGGACCCGAGGCTGCAAAGTAAGCACGTCTCTTTCTGTCTCTCTTTCGAGGTTCCGTGGTCAGATCCAAATTCTCGACGTTGGCGACTACGGAGATGTGCCGAACTGGACAGAGTTCTTAGCAGCTAAGCGTCGAAGGCTGAGATTGGTGAGGGCAGGTTTATCGAGGTCATCGAGTTCGGTAGGGGCGCAGAGGCTGTTTCTGCTGCTGGCAGGACGGGTCGGATGTGGAACAACTTGCGCCTGGGCCCTGACATCTACAAGGCCTGCCTATGTGCCAAGCAAAGCGCGTTGCTGTGGAGTTAGTACACGTGTAGATGGTCTTATTGGGGGATGAACTTGGAGCTTTAGCAACGAGATCCTGAGACCCTCCATTTGCATAGCGGCATCATGCCAAGAAGCGTTGTAAGAAATTCAGAATGGCCTACCAAGAATTTCATCCCACATCAATATAAGGACTACGAGCCTCAAATCCGACGACCCAAACCTAAAGTCGCAAAGCTCTCAGTGGCTCTACGCGTCAATCCTGTGTAGACGCTGCAAAGCTTTGGTACAGGTCTTCGATGGGAACTATCCGGAGACCGTGCGGAAAGTCTTTATCATCAGCCGCCCGTCTTCAAAGCCGAGAAATCTCAAATGTGAGTTTAGGGCTCACGGCTTAGGATGCTTGATTAGGGCTAAGGGTGATCCATGGCCTTGGTCTTCAGATGCACAGTTCCTACACATCATATTTTTGCGCCCACAACCTCTGAACAAGCTGACGCTTGGGTGCTAGTTGGGGTCGGACGAGCCCGATCAAGTCAAGCTCGACTGCCCTTTTACTTCGGGGGTTTGGATGAACGAAATAAAGTTCAGGAAGTTTAGGAGGAGGGGATAAACCCTGACTGCCCTGACTGGAAACCCAAGCAATGACCCGCTTTCTCGGCTCGCCCTCACACACCCCTCTGTATTTTAGGCACGTTTGGTCTTTTCACGGAAGTGTGGCTCCGTGAATTCCACTTGCCCGGACAGAAGTGTCGCCAGACTCAGCAGCGCAGTTCTTTAAATTTAGGTCCCTTTCTGGGCGGCACCCTCAGTTTGAGGCCCCGAATGTAATATGAACAGGAACACAGAGGACAACAATTTAGAGAAGCTGGCCAGCAGAAGGAGGTCTCAATCCCACAGATTCAGGGGCCCTGAGCATCTCAAGCATTTGATGTTTTTAGGTTTTCGGGTTTCGGGTTATAGGGACTCAAAGCTTTTTGCCTTAAAGGGAACAGAGCTCTCAGCCGGGACATCGAAGGGACCAGCTCTCTTGTTCATCACGGATACACCCTGGCCGGGAGCCCCATGCCATTTCATGGGCTGAGGAGGTTGAGGGTTATGGAGACCTCGGTCTGAGGGTTTGGGTTTTAAGTTTTCTGGACCTAAAAGGACAACAGGGTTTGGGAATCATGGTCACGTTTTCGTTTCTTAGGATTCAGGCTTCAGGGCTCAGGGCCTCATGCTTTCGACCTATCGGAGTGGCGTTGGCCTCTGTTCTTGATGAATCTTCGAGTGTTTAAACGCAATTGGGGCTCCAATTAGTCAAATATTCCCGACTGCACAATTGAGACCATTGATACATGAGGTTCTTATCATTCTTGTCTTTCAGGAGGGTTCGTGGACACTGGCAGACTTTTTGGGCTCTGTGCAGTTGAGGGTCTTGGGTTTCACTGCCCCCTTTGGGGGGCTTGCCAAAGCCTGCCATGCTGAACATGCTGGACCCTCGACTCTTTGTTGCACAAACTGTCATGTATACCCTTCCCCCTACTGCTGCATCCTTCAGACTAACCAATGAGCCGTGCACCCTACACCGGAAATGCAGCTTGATCATCCAAAGGTGCAGCGGCTACTACCGCAGAGGACCAAGCGAAAGCCGCGCCCTCACGAATCTTTACCTAGGATTTCAGCAAGGGTGCAATTGGGTTTCAGGGTTCAGGTCTCAAGCCCCGGAGTCCAGAGGTCTTGTAGGGTTCTACACGGTTCCTGGCTTAATCGACCTCATGCTAGGCTTGGGCCTGGGCTTTGTCCGCACAATGTCAAAAGCGTAGCCATGAACCTCGCGGACCCCACCCAGACCAGAAATTGTTTGCACCCATCCCAGACACCCTGTAGAAACCTTGGGGGGGGGGGGGGGTTCAAGATGTCAAGAAACCTCTGCAATGCTTGCCAATCCGAACAAAAAGCGAAGGAAATCTCTGTCTGAAACCACATCTCACACCTCCCTATAAACATCAAATCATGCTCCTGTAAAACTTTGTCATTGGTACGCTAGCACGCTGACATCTCAAAGGGGCAGCTGGAAATACGACTTTAGGCGATGAGCCACCATGGCAACGGATTGGAACAGATGGCGGATTGGGCCGTGGTAAAGGATTGAATCTGACAGATGCCGCAGAGAAGAAGTGGCGTATTTGTAATCAGCCCAAGTCGTGAACAAGCCAGCTTGCTGAGAACTCCCCCAACCCCCTGGACCTTCTACCCTTGACCTTTATAAAGCTTGAACAACCCCAAACCCTTAACCCGAAACACCAAACCGCAAAGCCTAAACCTTACTCTTAAACCTGACACCCTGAACCCTAACTAAGCCCACGTCAGGCTGAAGCTCTTCGGCCCAAAGGCCGCGGAGTGGGTGCACGAGCTGAGCTTGGGCGCCCGGACCGTTTGGCTTCTTTGGGCATATCGGAGAGCGTTAACACACGAGCCAACACGGGCAAAAGCGCCGCGTCAAGCAAGCCCTACATCCTAGTTATTTGGCATCCGAGTTAGTCCCAAACCTAAAGCCTGCAACCATAGTTATGTATAGCCTGTGCTGTAGGGCAATTCTAAACCCTTCATCGAGCAACGGTTCATGACTCCCACTGAGAGAAAGCATGTGTCGCTGAGGGGCCGAGCTGCCAGAGAAGCAGGACTTGAGGGTTTTTAGGGGCTTACTGTAGCGTTTAGAGTAGGACTTCGGGTTGTTCTTCCCCTGGTGCTTACAGCCTTTTTTTGCCATCCATGAGGAATTGCCAGCTCTCACATCCCGTCACTCATCGACGGCTGCATTGACCCCTCAGCCCTACACCATAGGGTCTTAACTCTAAGGCCCGGGTTTTGGGTTTATGGTTTAGGGTTTTGGGGTTTGGGGTTTAGGGTTTATAGGGTTTAGGGTTTAGGGTTTATAGGGTTTAGGGTTTAGGGTTTAGAGTTTAGGGTTTAGGGTTTAGGGTTAAGGGTTTAGGGTTTAGGGTTTACGCAAGCGTAGGGGTCGGGTCCGGGCCTCCCTGTCGGCTGAAGAGCTTGCAGTCCTATTCCCGGAGCCTCGCAAGTCGGCCTACCAGCCCGAAGCTAGGGAGCGTGGAAGGGACTTGTGAGACAGGCTTGGGAAGTTTAGGGTTTTAGGGTTTAGGGTTTTAGGGTTTAGGGTTTAGGGGTTCTACACCGGGGGTATTTAGGGGAAAGCTGGAGGAGCTGCCAGAGTTCCTTCGCTGCGACAGCGAGCAGGCTTTCAGGCCAGAACGCAATTCTGGGTGTCATCTAAGTTTCCCCTTAAGCCCTATAAACCTCGACCCCAACACAGGAGCTAAATTGTATCCCCTTGGAACCCTGATGTATCCATCATACAGACTATCCAAAACACCCGTTCAAATTAAGGAATTTGTAGCCACGACCACTCCCCCCACCCCAAATAGGAACTAGTCCCCGTGCATCCCCGTGCACTCCTTTGCGGTTAGCTCAGATTGCGCCCTTATCCGGAGCAGTGAATGCAGAAGAGGTGGAACACCTGTCGTAGAAATGGCCGTGTTGCACACATGCAGCGTAACACCAAACTACAGAGGCAAGCCACGAACACCTTCTACTCCTACGCCTCATGTGTTCAGGACCGGCTTAGGTCTATTTGGAGTTTAGGGTGTGCAGGCTTAGCCCATAAGTCGACACCCACTCAGGGCTGCGACGCCTCGCGGGGGCGTCGTTCCTGAGGGCATTGCTGGATCCGACCAGGGCCGCTTCGAGGATGACGAGGCAGGATTTCATCTTTGTTTTGTTTAGTTGTTTAGGGGTCGTTTATGAACCTCAGGGACTACATGGGGCCCAGGCCATGGTTTTGAGGCTTAGAAGGCTTTCGCGTTTGAAGGTTTTGACCGGCCTGTCCTTTCAAGAGCGTGGCTTTATTGCAGTTGGCCGTCTCCGGACCCGAGGCCCATTGTGATTGTGGGTCCTCACCCCTGAAAGATCTTTTTCGTAAATAGCACCTACCAGCAAGCTTCGAACTTTGTAGAGCATTGCCTCGAGACTCCGTGGGATCACTCGAAGTATGTTTAAATCAGGTTCACTTTTCTCGGCTCATACACAAGCCCCACGTTGGCAACCCAGCTCAGGTCTTTCCAGGAAACCTAAACAGGGCTGCATGCTTTGGAAGCAGCACCACGGTTGGGTTCCCTTGTTGAAACAAAAAACCGTAGGACCCATCTATGTTTAGGTTCCCCTGGTTCGTTTACAGGGACCGGTTTTTTGGGGTTTAGGCCTGGTTGTTGGGGCTTGCGCATGGAGGACGCAGAGGACGGGCCGGAGGTCGTTGCTGGGAGCTTATGTGTCCTGCAGCGTTTCCTGATTCGAAGCAACGATAGGCAGTGCTGGAGTCAGCGCCCAGGACCTCGCATCCATGGCCCCCCTGCATATTTGTCCCAACGGCGCAGGGTGGGGGATGTAAAAGAACTAGAAAAAAGGACCCAGAAAGGTCAGCAACCGAGATGTTCGTAAAGGCAGCGACACCCTGTGCTTCTCCAAGGCCCTTGCCCCTACGCTTGCTGCTGCACAACCCATATATATATATATGTATATATATATATATATATACATATAGTACGGATTATCTTCCAGAGCTGCGCTTTGGTGATCTAAGTTTGCAGCTTAGAGTCCAGGGTTGCACGCGAGCACTTCCAAACAACCTTGCGCTTCAGAGTGAATGCTGAGTCCCTCAACCCCAACCTCAACTCCTAATCCCCGAAGGCCGCACAGCCAATCCCAACCCCGATACGCGGAAAGACGTGAACAGCGTTAGGATTTGAAGCTGAGAGCTCTGGTTTCGAGAGCCTGGGGAGTTCGGGCGCACCCTCAACTCAACATTTCGGGCAATCTACTTTCCGGCCCAGGCCCGCACGACTTCGCAGGAGCTGGCGAAGCAGCAGGCAAACTAACTCTGCATCACCCTAAACCCTAAACGTTTCCTGGACCCCCCCCCCAACAAGATTCATGACATTGCACAGAGACTGTGGGAAGTTGGGGCCCAGCACCCTACGAAACCCGACGCCCTGGGGTTTAAGGCCCTAAAGCCCTAAAAAGCCCCAAGGTTGAGCCCTAAACCCTATAAGCCCTCTAGGTTCCAGGAATCATGTTTTACTGGGATTTTTGGTCCAGGACGTGACTCTCAGTTTACTCAACCTCAGCTTTGGGGTGTTGAGGGATTTGCGCTTCTAGGTACCAAAGGGTTTGAGGGTTTTAGGGTTCAGGGTGCAGGGCTCAGGTTGAGGCGGTTTAGGGCTCAGGTCTTGTCCTTGTGGCACAGAGCCATCAGTGTCCCAAATTATCATTGCGTCCTTGCAGGCTTCTTGTGATGCTGGGGCTCAGGTTTTTTGGGGGCGTCAAGGGCTTACCCGAAACCCTAACCTGGATAATTGTTTCTGCATATGGGCGTGTGCCATAAAGTCAGGGGACCCCAAAGTAGGTACCCACTCATAGAGAACCCCCCCCCCCCACAAAAAGAAAATGTGGCCCATTTTGCTATTGGGGGTATATATTTTTATGGGTTCTACTTAGTTACTCTAGGAAGGTTCAGCGTTAAACTTCGCTCAGCCGGTCTCTCTCCTTAGGCGCGGGTCAGCGACGCTGTCCTTCGCTTCCTACTGGCCGCCGCTGCCTCGGTGACGAAAAGGTCCAAGGCTCTGGCGCCCTTTTCGTGGTTTTGAATCGCGCATCTTATGTGCAAGTCGCTGCTAGCCAAGCAGTCCCAGCGGGTGTAGGGTTTAGGGTTTATAGGGTTTATAGGGTTTATAGGGTTTATAGGGTTTATAGGGTTTATAGGGTTTATAGGGTTTATAGGGTTTATAGGGTTAAAGGGTTTAGGGTTTAGTGTTTAGACTTTAGCGTTTAGGGTTTTATTGGGAGAAGTTCGCGTTTTTAAGGTGCTTCTCAGGGCTCAGGGTTTGGCGAGGTCGTCTTCGCCTTGGCCGCTGCTGTGCTCGGAGGCCCAACGCCCATATTATGGGTGGTTGTCAAAATTTATGATCCTGCACCCTGAATTCTACACACCAAAGCCCATCCAAAGCACTAGAAATCCCTGGAAGTACTGAAGGCAAAGCTTCGGAGTTTGGGTTCGAACATCTTCGTCAAGAAATCCGCTCCGAGCCAGGGCAGCTGGCGAAGGATGGCATAGCTTGACACTGCAAGCGCTGGAGAGAGGCCGCGGTTCCGTTTAGGGTTTAGGGTTTAGGGTTTAGGGTTTAGGGTTTAGGGTTTGGGGTTTAGGGTCATGGCCCAAAAGCGATAAGGCCCTATAAAGCCTGAACTCAGGTGAGGGGTAGCCAAGCCCAAGAACCGAATCCCTCAGGGTCTGAGAAACCTAGAGCCCTGAATCCCACCATGCTCCATCCTGCCCTCCAATGTGCCCACCAGGTCCTGCCCGCCGAGCCCCAATCCTACCCTCAAACCCGAAAGCTTCTGAGGCCTATGCTTCACGTGAGTGTGTGCATGGTTTGAATGAGTCCCCATGCAGGCTGCTGCCAAGGTCAAACACGACGCCCCACACCCCTACACTGAAATAGGGGGAAGCGGGTTTGGAGGGTTTATGGCATGGCAACACGGTCTCCAGAAGTAACATGCTGCCGGGGCGCGATGTTGGCTGCAGTCTGGAGATGGAAGAATTTGATACTGCACAGAGAGATCTCAAGACTCAACAAAGGCTTGGCGAAATTCTCAGCTTCGTAGCCACTCGAACCCTGGTCAACAGTAAACCCTAGACCCTATAGGCCTAGACCCTAACTAGCACCTCTCCGGGCAGATTCCATGACCCTAAGATAGGGCGTGCTCCCCAACCCCTCGACCTCCCCTCCCCCCTTGCGCATTTAAGGCGCAAGGATCGTGCTTTTTTTGCATTCATGGGACTGAAAACCCCGTGAAAACTCCGACTTAGCCTTCGTGTTAATTGTGGCTCCGCAAGCTGCATGATTTTGCTTTGCAGTGGCTCTGCCCGAGCATCTCTGGAAACAGCCACATGGCCTAACAGCGACTGCACAGATGCTGAAGCCTCTGCCTGAAGTCAGAATGGCTCCGGCTCTTCTTCTCTGTCGCTAACGGGCACAGCTAGGTCCCCTGTTCGTGTAGAAGGCAAGGCAAGGTGAACTGGAGGTCACAGCATTGTGGCTGTGGGGGGCCTAGCTGTCAGAGATTCATATGTCCAGCCAGGTTTGGTGATGAGGCTTGGGGCATAGCGAGCAAGTAGTATGGGTTTAGTACCCATGTGTCCGAACGATGTTTTGGGTATGTTCTGGCGTGCAAAGTCCACATGGGACGCATCTTGTGTTTTTTACCGTTTAGCCGACGCCCCTCAGCGTAGCCCTCTGGCCAAAATTGTTCAATTCTTGCTTAAGGTGTATGGTTTGGGATGTTCCCCCTTACACTAACACTCCTTAATAGGGATGAAAACGGAAAACGGGGGGGGGGGGGGGACTATAATCCCTATTCAGGACTGTTAGTATAAGGGGGAACATCACAATGTAAGGTCTCCTGAGAACCTCTGGGCGTTGAATCTCAGAAAGCTTTGGTGGCCGATGGCCTTTTCCCTGCAGGATACCCTGCAACAGCCATAGTGCCTTAACCCACCCGGACCAGTCAGGGACTCGCCAGAGCGAACTATGCTGAGCTGCAAGAAATCACACTTGCACGCACAATAAGAGGCCAGCTTAAGTCCTGTAACCAGAGCCTATAGACATCTAGCCTGAGATGCCATATCCTGCCAGCGAATTATTATCCACGACCGCGCCATAGAGCCGAGAACTCTTCCACTTAGGGCTGCAGCTTTAGACCGCAGCTTGCCACATCAGATTACATCGGGTTAAGGGTGACACACGAAACCTTTAGAGACAGGTTTCAGGTGCAGCCAAGTAGCTGAGGAAGGAAGCTTGGTTGCACCCTCATCCACAAGCAATCCACGTGCACGCCTTTTGGAACCTTGGGAGCTTGTGTTCTGCAACTCGCACTTGCAGCTGGCCTAGAAAACGTACGCACATGAAGTTGAAATGAAGTTCCAAGATCCCTGGTGAGTCTTCGACTTATGCCGGCCGCACAGAGCGCCTCGGCCAATGTGAAGATTCAAGGCCAGAGACGGACACCCTAGATTCTTGCCATGACGAAACCCTGTCAGAAGTGCAAGACCTCGTGGCAGAAGGTCAACATGCCCAAATGAGACCACGGATCCATTCTGCTGACTCTTGCACGATCTTGCACGCGAAGCCGAAAGACAAGAGGGACATAGAGGCTGAGAGGCTGGGAGAACCCCAAGTGCGGTCGCCTAGCACCGACGAGCCCACGAGTAGTCTCCACAGAAACATCGCGACACCGCGGCGTGTCGTTTCAAGGCTTCTGGTGTTACCATGTTGGCACGATTGAAATGTCATCAAAAACACAGCTCTCACAGCATGACATGCTGCAAAGTAGAATAGAGAGATTGTGTCCAAACTTCTTGTACTAGGAGACTCTAACCTCGACCGCGCCTTGGGCGACCCCGGGTTTTCAGCACCTCTCCTGGCCTTGCACGCTCATGCATCGAGAGACCTCGAGAGAGGGCTGACGGGCTGACGGCTGTGCCCGATTGCTCTGGGGCTATAGACCATGCAAAACACAGCTGAAAGTTGGTAGCAATGGAAGGGTCCAAAGAGCTCTTGAAACAGCGAATGGCCATCACGCGCAGCATCACCCACTAATCACCACCCGCCGCCGCCCCCACCGCCGCCGCCGCCACCACCATCGCTTGAGTATGCTATAATTATATGTTTGAAGAAAGCACGTTGGGCTGATGATGCAAATATCTGAGCAATCTAGGCAGCAAACTTCGAGAAGGTTGTCAGCCTCGACACGTGCTCTTCTTTGTTTACCAAGTTGAAAGCTTGTTGCCTAAGTCGACTCCACGGACATCATCGAAAAGCGCTTAGGTTTCCAGCGTCACTACAATACGTGTTTGGATGTAGCTAGCCCAGTTGTGCCGGCAAGGGGCTTTTGACTGTGAAACCATAAGCCTCAACCCCCCCCCCCCCCCCCAGGCTTGTCACGTCAGCACAAACTCTTGCAGCGCCAAGCACTGCGCATTGCGCGATGCAGCGACGGGCAGCAGCGACGGCTTGCCGGACAAAAAAATCACACTTGTGCAGCTTTGGGCCTCCAGGGCAGCGCTGCTAATCCGGGTGTTTCGTATCTATATATAGACATGAGGACAACTTTGCAAGTGTAAGGCTCCATTTTTTGAGGGTGTACAGCAGTGAGAGCTTCTTAGCTGTTCATGTACAGATAGGTATGAGGCTACATACGACATTCTTTATTGATCTTTCAGAGCATGAAGGAATTGCATGTAATAGTCTTTAGTTAGGTACAGTTTACAACACTACCCCTACAGCCTGAAGCTCCAGCCCTTGCAGCTCCCCAAGCCCGGAGATCCTTGAAGAAGTGGTCGAGCCGCCTGCAGTGCTACCTCTTCCTGGACGATGCGCCGGGTCCAGCTCAGACACCACCGAAGTGAGCCATCGCCATTTCGTTACAAGCTTCGGACTTAGGGGAAAATGGTTTGTCATTGTGTGTTTGAGGGTTGACAGTTCTTTGGTTTCCGAACCAGAAAAACCCAAATCCCAAATGGGTCAGTGAATCGAGAGGCAGGTCAGTTCGCTATTGTGAGTCTTTTCTTCGAGGCTTTGGTGTAGCTGAATCGTTTCACGAGCTATGGCGCGGCGAGAGGGAAAAAGCTCGGACGGGACTCGCAAACGGCCTGGGTCCAAGGTAGCTAGACATGGAAGGCCATGTTCACGAACATGGGCTGTTTTTCTTTCACAAGCATAGGTCTAACACCAGAATCCAAAGCCATCAGCAGGCACTACTGATGTTGTTGCTTGATCTGTGTCCCTTGAGCTGCTCATTTTCTTGTACACGAGATAGAGAAGAAGCTGACATGCATTAGTCTGCTAGCTGCAGGCCTTGCGCGCAATCCATTCAGAGTAAATCCGTTCGAAGACCGTCTGTGGACCTCAGGATGCAGCTGCGCCTCCTGGCTGCCAAGTTTCACAGCCATGTGAAGAAGTCCGTCGTTGTGCGCAGATTTGCCCGGGTGGCAGATGGCTTCGGAGCAAGAGAAGCGCAGCAGCATGCCGCTCACGTTGCGGCATGGATTGCCTATGCCCCCCCGGATTATGTGCCAAGCATCTCAGTCATGAAGTTGTTAACTCAGCTCTTAGCCAAGCTTGGGGACGGCATGTTGCCTTCTCGCTTGCGAAAAGTTCTGCCAAAGGCACAAACGTCTCTGGAGGCTCTCCATAAGACGTGCAGCTGGTGCGAGGAGGATCGCGGTTGGGAGCGAGCCAGAACCAAACTGATTTGCAGCTTGAAGAAGCTGCGCGGCTGTCGTTTCGACCAGCAGGGTCATCCGAGAGAAGCTCCAGTGGCGAGCTCGTCAGAGGGTGCCCCGCCCAGTGCTGGGCTAGGAGATGGGGATGACCTTTGCGAATGTCCGAGCGCAGCTATGCAGCAATTGCTTCGGGAGGTCAACACATGGACAAGCATGAAGGAGGAGGAAAAGCTACAGTCCGTACGAGGTACTGAAACCATCGCCATGGGTGATTCCAGAAACATCAGCCAAGCCGAGCTTTCCGAAGTGCTGTGCCAGCTTGCAGCTGCTCTGCCGATGCCCCACCAGTCGACACAGGATGAACCTGGTAGAAGGGAGCCAATAAAGGCCTCTGCGAAGCTGCAACCTCTGTCCTCGGATCTACCACGTCATGTCCGAACTTTGCTCCTTAAGTCTTTGCATGCTTGGCGTGCTCGCAAGTTTGAGCTCAGTAACATCAGGCACATCTTGGAGTATTTGCAGTCAACAATCCGCAGGTTCGAAGAGCGAGGTGGAGAAATTCGCTGCGCAGCCTCAGCTCCCCAATGGTTGGCCATACAGCAGGCTATCAACGACCTGTTGCAATGCGACTCAAATGCCCCAGACGGTGTCCTGATTTCACGTCGCATGCCCTGTCACAAGCGCCAGGTGCCTAAAGGCACGAAGAAAACAACGTTTGAGTCGGCAATGCTTGCCTTGGGTGGCACCGCCACGCGTGAGCAACTTGTGGAGTACGTTAGGAGCCACCCGGGTGCCATTGAGATCGAAGGTGCGGAAGGGGTTGAGAGGAGTTTGA